TTTTTGTCTACTTTTTAAGGCAATTGAGAGTTGAACTAGAGATATCTAAGATAGAAGCTAACTGTAATTATTAAAAAGAATATTTCTCAAATTAAATCTTAATTTTCACTGTTTCAAAAAATAGTCTTGGATTACATTAATGGAGCAGATCAAAATCATATTTTTCATATCAAAAGAAATCGTGTTATTGAAGAAATCATAATTAATAGCAACATGTTTAAAAACTTAAAATATTTACTTATCATAAAAGCTGTAACAAAAGCATTGGAACATGTTCACAGTCATTCATTATGCCTGGATCAGAAACTTGACTTGAAAACTGTTGTGTATGATGTATGAATTTTTCATTTTTGTCAAAATTAATCTCTCACAAAGAAAATACAATTTAACTAATGATCTTTTCCATTATAGACAATAACCAGGGAACATTTTGTATCAATAGAGAAATTGAAGAGCTCTTCTATTGCATGTATTTATGAAGATATTGAAGATTTTGGAAATTTTGTTAGAAAAATACTTCAAAAGCGATCTTTAATTTCTAAATAGTAGCAAATTTGAATGAAATAAATATGTAGTTTGTTGTTCTTTCTTAATTTTGTCTAGAAGATTAGGATATAATCAAGCTTTCGATACACCCATATTTTAGATAGAGTCCATATCACAAAAATTATCAAATGTATCATTCCATGCCACTGTATTGATTCTCCTTAGGTAAACTATGCTGTTTGCAAATTAAGACACTATTTTTAGTAATCCTATATTTCACAAATTGAACTGATTCTTGCAACAAATCACCTTTAAATGAAATTTAAATGAAAGTGAAAAAAAGCTTGCCAAAGATGGAAAATCTAAGGAGGTTAGCTAATAATAATAGAAAAAAATCAAGACTAAAAGAACCAAGGGAAACCAATCTTAGTATTTGTTTTCCAATACTCTCAATAACCATTGAATCATGAACAATAAGCTTCGAAATTTAGTTCCAAAACAGTTCAAGGTCAGTTTGCCCGTCAAGCTACAATTCCACTACGTATCTCTCTTGAACAAGATATATTTCAATGCTGTAATTTTAAAAAAGAGAATTTCTATTTTATGCAATGTAACCTTTGATGAAAGAGATAATGTCATTTGTAAAATTCATGTCAAAACCCATTGAATTTTTTATCACATGTAAAAATTTCAATAAAGAGATGACTCATCTGAATAATTTTTAGGGACAATCATTGGTAGTTTTCATTTTTAGCAGAAACTAAATTGTAGAAAGAGTGAATTTAGGATTTCATGCTATTTTGAAAGTCACACAAAAAATTATCCCTTACTCATCTTCAAAAGGAAACCTTGCGAGATTAAAACCTACAAACAGACAACTATAATACATGAGGGTGAATGGAAGAGGGTCATAGAAAACGCTAATAACCAAGTGCTTAAAATATTTTCTACACATTTACAATGTACATATTTAAAAATAAAAAATAATAAAAATTATTTTTTATGCCTCAGATAGTTCTTCTGTATTCTTAACAATGAAAACATTGATTTTCTAATAACTTAAACATTCACACTATTAATAAATTTATTGATGTTTTCCATGACATCCATTTTTTAAAATTGAACATGTTTAATAAACTACAATATAAGAAAATTCATAAAACATATAGTTTTTTTTGTCTCAGTTCTTGTTAGCTACAACAAAATCAATTTTTTTTCTATTGTTGACCAGTTCCTTCCTCTAATGACATTAACTGTTTTTCGATTTACAATGAGCAAAAGAATATTAATAATAAATTGTATAATTACACATAACAAACCCTGAGACAAAAAAGAATTTTTTGTTAACAATAGCCAAATTGAAATAGTTCTTATTCAAAATTTCTAAAATCAACTACTTAATGTGTTTAGATTATAAATAATTAATATCTCGCTTTTAATAATTAACATTTTAAGAAATTTACATTTGTAATAAGAAATTTACAATGAACAGTTACTTTATAACTTCTTTTATTATTTTCTTATCATTCCATGTAACTGCTTTTGCAAAACTTCTCAATGTGGCCTATAGACATAATTTGGCTACTTGTGAAGAATCATCACATCATCCTTATATTGGTAGTTTTACTTATAATTGTGAAAATGCTCTTGAAGATAAGCAGTTGGTTATGGGTGGTTGGGCATCTTTTTGTTCACCCGATGATTGCGCTCATCAATGGATTAAAGTCAATTTTTTTAAAACATACAATATTATTTCATTTTGTTTAAATCAAAGAATTATAGCGAAAATGTATAAAATTGAACTTTTAAATGTCACTTTTAGCAGAGGGCCAACTTTTATTTATAAATTGGATAGTTATGAAACATGTTATCTATTGGAAGATGGTCAAGGAGAATCTGTTGAGTACATTCATTTACAACCATTTGAAGGACACAGTGGTATGAATCATATAAGATTTAGTTCAATTTTGGTATTTTCTTATACAGGTAAACATTTAATAATACAAATTTTCCATTATCAAAACAATGTAATTTTTAAATATTTCTTCTAGCTGATGATGGAAATGATGATATAATTTATACAAGCATTTCAAAAGGCGATATTGGGGCAATATGTTCTGCATCTAGTGGCATTTGTGATAATGCCCTTGAACCAAGTTTCCATAGTTTTTGGAATCCAGAATGTATTAGTGGTTGCATTGGAGAATATATAAATATTACTTTTGCCTATTCAGCTAAACCAAATCAATATTGTGTAACAGAAAGGTAAAAATATCTTCTTTTTTTAAGAATTTATCTTGTAATTTTCAATTAAAAAATATCTTGAAAAGATTTAATGAGGACATAATCATAAAAAGCATGTTGGTAAAATGGAGCTTTGCCTCTAGCCAAGAATTTGATTTAATACAAGGAATACAAAGAAATTGCAAAGATTATTCAAGTACATTCAATGAACTTTGGTTTCATTTGAAAATCTTACAAGTTTACAATGTTCAAAAATTTTCTATTTCAATGATTGATGTTTATACAAAAGCTGATGTTGACAGTAGTATTTTTAACATTCAAACAACTAATGATGTCATTTATCATCTGTCCAATAAGGATTTAAACAATCTAAAGGAGTTTAAATATCAGGTGAAAGGTAGTTTATTCAGCTTGTGCAATTCTCTCGTAGTCAGTTTTAAATGCAATGATGAAATTATCTGCTCAATAACTCACAATACAATAGGGCAGTCTTTTTTGACATTACTAAAACCAGAAAGAAAAAGCCTTATAATTAATCATTTACAACAATTATTAAATTGTTCAGAATGGAAACTTTTCTGGCTTGAATTTACATGCACACAAGTGAAATTTGGTTTAATTGAAGATAACAATGTGATTTTATTGGGTATAATTGAATCAACTTTTCCACTTCCGCTTAATATTACTCATATAACATTTAAAAATAAATTGCCAAATGTTATTAATTATGTAAAAGTTGATTTCAAAGGTTTGATTACTTTTGGTGCTTTTAAATTGTACATAACATTTCATCTTCTCTTTAGGAGGAAGGAAAATTACTTTAATAAAAAATACTAATAGTAGAATGTCAATTGTCTATAACAAGTTCAATGAGTACTTGTATGTTACTGTACCCAGAAAATCAAAGAATTCGTTCTTTCAGTTAAAGTTTGAATCTGATGAAGAAATAATGATTAAGATAATTAATCCATTAACTTTCATTCAAAAACAATTAAATTTAAATGAATTCAGTGATGGAAATTTTTCTAAAAATTCCAAACAAAATCCAGAAATTGGTTTAAATTGTTCATTTAATAAAATAAACATAAAGACATATTTGACTTTGAATTGTAAAAGGATTGGAGATTTTACATTGAATAAGACTGTCCTTTTTATTTTAACAGACAAATTTTTTGATTTTAATCAACAGTTATCTTGTCAACTTTTCTTTTCAAATATTTAACCTAAAATATGAAAAAATGATCTTTTAACCTTGACCTTTTTCACAATTTGAGTTACTATTATATTGTTGTGTTTCTGTGAACTTGTAATAGTACAAAGATGTTGTAGTTGCAACGTGAACAATGCAGATTTTGTTTAAAGAGCGGTTCCTTTTTATACAAGGAAATATTGTTAAAACATCGAAAATTATTGAAAAAAGTTAAATACTCTAGAGTTGGTTAAGAATTAGACAAAGTAAATGTTTTCATGAAAAATATACAGAAGCAAAATTAATATGTTTGAAGATAATCCTATTACAAAATACAAGCAAGAAAATTAAGGAAAGTCATGTGATTTTGCCATGCATCTACTCTCACTCCATTGTCCCTTATTCCCTCCTAATTGAGCTGGGCGTCACCAATACCTGGCCAGGGTTATCCATCCGTTGCTGGAGTAGATTGTCATTAACTACCTTTTTCACTAATTCCCATAGAGTGAATCACCTTTTGTGGGACCATTGATTGTAGAGCATTGGCTTTGCCAAGTATTTGGCTGCCTTCACAAGCACTTCCCATAATCTTCCTTGGTTAGATGGCTTTGCTCTATTCGAAGTGAGTCCTTTCGCCATTGATATGAAGGTCTAGAAATAAACTGAATTACTAAGGGTTTTCTTCGTTTTGCTAACACCCTTTCGAGTTCTATCTTGATGAAGTTTGCATCCAGACCTTCTCTCATCTCAAGCCTCACTATCTAGCTCTGTAAGCAGATGAGAAGTAACATATAGGCCTTGCCTGCTCTTTTTAATTTTGATGGCTCAAAGTAGTCAATCCCAACATATTTGACACCAAATTATTGTTGTCTATGTTGGAACAGTTCTTAAGTAACTTTTCTAAAGAATTGCCTTGTTCATCATATAATAACAGGTATCCTCTTAATTCAGCATCTGAGTGATACGAAATTTTCGTCTTTTTGGCAATCACTTAGTAAAAAAATAATCAGTTGAAAAGAAAAAGAGAAAAGTTAGTTTTTCACACTTTTAAAGATTGTATAAGAAGATTTATTTAAAAAGGTTTTGGAATTTCAGTAAACCTGAAATACGTATTTCTACACAACAAATTGTTGATACGATAGTATTTATTAAAATATCTTGCAATAGAAACCCACTCAAAAATTTTTAAAACAACTCACAAAAAAAATGTGATAGGGAGAAACAGACATAGTAGTTTAAAGTTTAGATAACTGATGGGTTAGAGTTAGGGTTAAACTGTTAAAAATGGGGTATCTTTCCCAAAATCACAAAAGTAATTCAATAATCTATGGAATAAACGTGGTTTAAAAAAAATTTCATCCAAGACGGCAACAGCAGATTCATTAAACAGATATTTGCTAATTGTAGGTATGATAACATTCATTAGAGTATTGTCAAATAGAAACAGTCAACAATTCATAAAAATATTCACAAAAACTATACATTAACCTATTGAACAAACTAGAGTTGAATCAATCTGCTGTTTCTGTGAAATAGAATGCTGATAATCGTTTGAAGAACTTGTCAATACATGCTTAAAAAGAGGCAATATATGAAATATACTAAATGAACATTCAGCATTTGCTTCTTTATACGAAATATCAGCACAAAGTGAATTTTGTGAACAATTATGATAACATTCCAAAGCGTTTCTTGTTTTTTCTGTATAGAAGCTGTAAGCAGGTTTTAATAATCTTTTATTCTCTAATCTAAAATTATCTGAAAAGAAAGAAAAAATGTTTGATCCATGAAAAAATGTTTGTAAAAAAGAACCTTGTTGATTATTTTGACTTATTCCTTTACTTATAATAAAAAAGTTACAAAATTGGAAAAAAGAGCTGATAGACTTAATTTGAATATATTTCGCAATCATTTCACTTTCACAATTGAAGGTAAAAATTGTTGGTTTTATAATTTTGATGTTATATTTAACTTGTACACAAAGATTGGGAGTATTGTATTCTATTCCATAGATATTTAGACCATCTATAACATTTGCAGTTGTCATTATTGTAAAACCAACTGCAGTAAATCTGTAATTATTTGGAAATTGAATGTAAATATCTCTTGTATGGAAATTACAATTAGTATTTAATATTATATCTGATGAATATGATGAAAATCCTCTTTCTGCCAAAACCATATTACCATATTCTGTGAAAAAAAAACAACCTTTAACTAAACTGGTAAAAGATATTTGTTTAAAAAAATAACCATTTAAACTGTAAGGTTGTTTTCTTCCAAAAACGTATATTTCACAAATGGAGAATAAATTATTACCACCAATTTTATAGAATGATACTCTATCACCTACAAGAGAACAGTTGAATGCTTGATAAGAACCATATCCTTTATTAGTGGTCTGCAAATCGCATATTTGCCTTTGAGTTGCGGGAAAGAGATTATTCTCAACTACAAGTTGAACATCTCGAATATCATCTATTGAAAAAAGAAAACTGTTTTAATTAATGTTGATGAGGAGGAGAATTGTTCTTTGTTATTACTCGAATCAATTCGTAAAAGAAGAACAATTTGATGTATTAGATAATGATTATCCAAATGGAATGTAAATTTTCCCTCTTCACCATTAGCTAGATAATTACTTGAACAAGAGTAGTAAAGTTCTTCATGATAAATATTGTGTGGCAGCCTGTCTATAGCTTTAGAAGGAAATTGATCTTTATGAGGAATTGATGGGAAACCAGTATTATTTGAATTTCTATCAGCCAATACTATTGGTAAATTATAGAAATTATTATTAATAATTTCTTCACCATAAACTTCTGCCTCTTGCAAAAGTAATTGACTGGAAGCATGCAAATAAAATGTTACATATCGACCAGTTGGATTTGACATTGTGCAATTCCATATTCTATATTCCCTTGGCGACATATGAATATTATTAATAAAACAAGTTTGAAAGCTATCCCCTGTATTTTGTGGAGAGAAATCATATTTATATGATACTAATCCTCTCAAGTGAAATAATGAAGCATCTAAAAAAATGTTTACAAAATCATCTCATCATCTTCGTTTGGTTAATTATATTTTGTTATCTTACGCTGTGAAACCCAGCCTATAATACCCATCGAATTAATTCGAAATACTCCTAGTAGGTCTATTCTACACCATGGATACGCTTGGAGATTGGTTTTGAAATAGGCATTGTCCTCTCCATCTGTTAATCTGAAACCTGAATACAAATTTTGTTGTACACTTGAAGCCCAAGATGGTTTATGAAACAATAAATTATTATTCTTCTGATCAGAAGATCTTAAATATATTCCAAATATTTCAATCTCATTTGCAGAGAATTGAATAGAAGAAGCAGATTTGGTAAGAATTTTGAAGAATTGACCTTCAACACCTCCTTTAACACATCCAAATGTTTGAAAATTTTCACTTTGTATAGGGAAATTATCAATCTCAATACATTTTTTTGATTCAATTGAATGCTCAAATAAGCTAGGATTATCATTGGATACTTCTACATAAAAGTTTCCAAAATTTCCGGAATAAGCTTGCGGAACTTTAGCATCAAATCCATAGACATTATAGTATGCTAATAGATTAATAGCAATCCAAATTTCTTGTTTTAGTGAATAACTCAAATAATTATTGAGAAATCCATCATTAAGTTTGCCATTGTGTGAAACCTGTTTTGTTAGGAATAGCTTTTTCGTGGCAAGATTTTCTGTTGATAAGAGAAAAAAGGGATGATAAATCTTTGCCATGTCAAAACATATATAAAAACAGGCATTTCTCTCTCTCTCTCTCTCACTTTCTCTCTTTAATTTTACCTGAAAAAACCTCAATTTCACAAATATAAAGGGGAGACTTTAATTTTTGTTCAATGCTTATAACATCGTGACTATTCATTGTGGCTGAACAATAAACTTCTGTTTCAGTATTGTTTTTAACAAGAATGTTATCTTTGCATGTATCATTTCTATCTTGCATGTAGATTAAGAATAGTTGATAGACTACAAAATAGGGGTAATACTATTTATTTATGAATAATCAAGTTTTTTTTCTCACCATTTTCATTAGTTGGCCAAATTACAACTTTTCTTACTGCATGAAATGCATTTAACATTATTTTTAAAGTGGGTTGAACAGTTTCCAACATTTCCAAAAGTACACAGGTTCCATGGCTGGCATTACTCAGACGTAAACCATCAACAGCATGAGTAGGATGATATAGAGGATTTTTAAAATATCCCAGATGTGAAACCTGTTTGTGTAGGGCAACATTTTCAATGTTAATTCCTGAGTTTCCCAAGCAAACTTGTCGGATATATTCATTCTTTACAGTTTTATTGTATTTTGATTGTCGTATAATTTGAGAGCTAAGATTCACTGATGAACTAAATTCTTCAATAGTCATCTCTTTGTGGTATGGATGTGCTTCAAAGTTTTTTGTTGGACATCCATTGTCATTCATTAAGAAGGTAAAACATTCATCGGTAGGTGGCGTTGCAGTATTCTTCGCACCACAAACTCCTAATCTTTTGTCTATTTTTTATGTTTTGTCGTCAATTTTTGTTTGTATACTCCACTCTTTACACAGAATACATACCTTTAAGAATAAATAGTGAAGTACGTAAACTATCCATTAAAGGATAATCAACTTTGGGAAACACATAGCAAAAGTATCCACGCCGTGCGAAACTAACGCATTCAAAATGACTAATTTGTTTGCAAATTCTATAACAATATTCCAAAGTAAAACCTATATATATAGTATTCGAATATCTTGAAGCAGTTTTTCCAGGTTCAAAAATTAAATTTTCCCCTTGAAACAAATGTTAAAAATATAAAAAATGAAAAAAATTCATTTTTATTTTAGTTAGGATGCGGTAGAAAACGGCCATAGATCTATGATTTTACCCTAACACTAACCTAGCCCTTGTTTTTGCCTAAACCTTTTCAATGCTCCTATTCCTTTGATGGGACCATCCTAAGTACGTATCAATAGCTATCTTATTCCCCTAACCATTTCCCAGCCTGAAATTTGACCTTCAAATATTTAATTTACGGCCGTTTTTGTTCAATCTCTTTCATTTACCATCTGCACAGATTCCTAAACCGAATGTTTTATCACAGCTGCAAATGTTTCCTTGGCAATTTTCATAAAATTCACAATCATTCTCACCCGAGCATATCTTCTCTATAAATGGATTTATTTCTCTTTTGCAGTTGTTAAATAAAAAAAGAAATACAATTGAACATACCACAAAAGATGCAACTTTCTAAAGTCAAGATTAAGAATAATCCTATTAGTTTCATTGCGTAATTAATAGAAAAAAGAGAGCTTTTTCTATGAGAACACGTCAAAAAATGAGCAAAAAGTCTTTCAAAACAATAAATATTAATGTTATGAAAAATTGAGCGGAAATGAATTATCTGAGTTGTTGCATGAATTTTGAAAGTCTCTACAAGATATTGAATATATTAAAGAACGTGTAATACAGACAAATTCACTCTCTTCCCTATGTAATCTTGGAAATTTCAAACAAATATTCAATTCTCTCAGACAGACAGACACATACACAAACACAGACGCGCGCACACACATGTAGGACTATTTCCTATTATACATTAATCTACGTAGATTCTTCTGATATTTTTAATATTTTTAATATTTCAACTGTGTCCTTTACCTTTTTCTTTCCATTCTTTTAGATTTTTAAACATTAAAATATTTCTATTTAAACTCCTCAAAAGATCTTTCTACTTTGAACAATTGAATATCTGTTTTAAGCTTTTATTTTGTTTTAATAAATTAATGAAAGTTCTTGTTGACGTTAATTATACATGTTCACTCATTTTATAACCTAAAATAGACATTTCAATATTTGCCTTAAGGTTCAAGGCTATAAACATGACATACATTTAAAAATTTCAGAGCTATGTTTAGCTTCATAGTGAAATTGGTAAAGAATTGTGAAATGATGGTTAGGTCAAAGGTCAGACTAGGATTTGAATCAAACGCATAAAAAACACATTTAATAGCCGTAGAAATGTGTTTCTTATAAAATGTTAGTTTTATGTCAAAGAGGAATGTTATTGATTTAATGCTGTTACTACATGGAATACAAGTATTCTTATTATCCTAAGTATCCTTTAAATTACATTCAACTGTTATATAATATCAAGAGAAAGAAAGAAAATACGCTAGTCCTATATCATTTATAATTCAATTTATTTGGTGTTTAATCAGTTTAAATTTGTTTTTAAATGAATGAATTTAAAAGTTGAGAAGATTTTGCTTTTAATAAAAGTTCATTTTACTTAAGATCATTTGTGTAGTAATGATGTTAACCAATTCTCGTTGGAGTTTTTTCTCTTTATATTTCTTTTCCCAATTATTGAAAATTCTATGTTTCAAAACTGTTTATTTTTTGGATGGTGCAAAATTGCATATTGAACCCATAGAGGAAACGGAAATATATATATTTGGAGAAGTACAAGTGAAAAGCGAAGTGGATGTTAATACATTCGTCTATAGTTTTTATGAGTCTTGGATGTTGAATAAAGTATGCAAAGATTTAAATTTCGATTCATTTAATTCGTTTTCGTTAAGCGGAAGAGATAAAATCGAAGGTTTTTGTATGAAAATAAAACTGTATGACAATGGAACTTGTTGCCAATAGTGATTAATAATTTTTTTCTAAATTTTAATATTTAAATAATTGAAAATTTTTCATACAGTTATAGTGAATTGACTTGTCAAAGACGTCAAGTTCTTTTGTTAAAATGCTTCAAAAAATCTATTGATTGTATATTGATTTTGTTTTCATTTTCTAAAAAAAATGTATCTTCTTTCATTTTATATTTATAGATATATTTACAGTTATGAGCGACTTTAATAATTATGTATTATATTTCAAACATCGGAATAATAGAGTCTATCCTATTCAAATTTCACAATCGATAAGAAGTGAAATTTGTAACAAATCTCTTTTTAGTATTGAAGATACAAACTTAAATTATCAATTTATGAATAAGAAAGCTGTTATTTTATCACTTGATGGAAAGAGAGCTATTCGAAAAAAATTCACAACTTTAACAGATACTGAAGCTGTTCAAAAATGCACATATATGGAATTGAATGGTTCAAAAAAAAAAATAAGATAAATTTAAATTATTTTTTTAAAATTAAAATTAAAATATTTTAAGACATTAAAGTCATTGAAAGGAACATTGATGTAATATATACAACTTATTTCGCAAGATATCCGGATCATTTACAATTTTTTTTAACAAAATCATTGAAAATATTTCCAGTTGGTTTTCAAAATAATATACAACCAATTATTGCTTGTCAATATATATGTCAATATAGTTTAAATAATAAGGTTTCTAAAATTTGTAAACATAAAACAATCTTACAAAAGGTTCAAGTTATTTTCAACAGTTGTTTTTTATCTTTTTTTTGACTTTAACTTGCTTTTCTTTTCATTCAAAAGTCTATTTATCCAATATTAACAAATTGTACATTAAAAAATAACCAAATTAATGGCTGCTTTTACAAAATTTATAATAAAGAAATACCAATTAATGTTATATATACTAAATGCCAAACAAAAGCTAAATTTGGTAATTTAAACATTATTTTTCAAATTTATGCTAATATCTCATTTAAATTCAGCTAGATATATTAATATTATTGACGGTAAATTATCACTTGAAATTGTTAACAATACTTCAAGTTTTGTTATTGGAATTTTGAAATTTAAAGCCAACAATGAAGAAACTTTTCGTTATTTTAAATATTCAAAATTAAATATTCTTGCAACAAATCATTTTTGTAAATTATTGGGATACGATTTTCTTCATTCATTGTTAAGATATACAAAATTAAAAGAAAATAACCAATTAGTAGTATCCATCAAAAAACCAATTATGGATTCATGCTGTATTATGTAAGTATATGAAAACAAATGATTAACATAAATAGAAATGTGTTTATTACATTTTTTTCAAAGTGTTTTAGAGAATTCAACAACTGAACAAGGATCAACACTGAAGTGTTTTAAAAAAGACTTTTCATGTAAATATGGAATATTTATTTTAAAAATATGAATATAATATAAAATATTTTATAGACAAGTTTACATTTAAAGTTCAGAAAAATTTTTATCTACCATTTTTAAGATATCAACAGAATAGTTTTAATATTTTCTATGATAAAACTATCAAAAAAAATGAAATTTGTAATAGTAGTTTATTCATTTATCAAAAAACATTGGAAAATTCTATAAATATCTCTGGTAATGTCTTAATAAATAAGAAAATTTCAATAATATCAGATTCACAATCTGAACATTTTACGAGAGTTAATTGTACATTTTTTCAATTAGAAGGTTTTTAATATTATATTCTAACACTTTGCCAACTTTTTAAATTTTACATGATTTTAATTTATAAAATAGATATAAAATTAAAAAAGTTAAAAAACAATAAAGACAGCCATTTTGAATTGAAACAAAGATTTAAAACTATTGGAGACTATTACTATGAATCAAAAACGTTTGGTTCTATAAATACTTTATTTATACTTAAAGTAAAAAAATATGTAGCTTGCAAAGTGATATGCAATGAATTGTCATTGTTGTCTGCTCCTTCATTATGTTTCTCTGAAAAGATATTCATAAATGTAAATATCAAATAATGATCAACACTGTAATAGATTTCGAATTTTTCTTTTTTCCTTCCTACTTGCCCAGGATGAACCTCATATGTTTTTGTGTGAAAATGTATCTAAAATGGAAAATTCATGTGATTTAAAAGTGCATACTAGGAGATTAACTGTAAATGTATATAATCCAATTTGTGAAGAATCTCGAGCAGAACTAAGTAAAATATTCTCAATTGTCATTCTGTTTAGAAATGATGTTAAAATTTCATACGCTGTATTATTCAATATGATAGTCTATAGTCTACTGTTGAAACAATTAACAGTTATATTTTGTGCTATTCCCTTCCATTGTCTATACATGTCTGCCATTTGTTAGAAGTAGGTCTATACTATTCTAGTAGAAATAGCATGATTTTCTGTTGAGAAAATTCCCAAACTCTTTTTTGAATTTGTCCAAATTTTCATATCCTCCGAGACAGGATTCTATAGCAAATGTGGGCGTAACGACCATCCATGATATTAGTTAAGCCGTTTTAAAATTACAGCAAAGCGTATGAAATTATCCAATCTTATCTAATATATAATCAAGGTATTGACCCACTTTTTTTGCCCATACTATTCTATTAGATATGACATTAACAAATGAATATCAACATGTACTGTACGCCAATAAAAGTCATAATTTTACTTCTTTTACTGGATTATTTCAAGTATTGCATTTTGGAGAATGGCGTAAATTTAAATATATTAAACAATTTGAATCCATAAAATTATGTACATTTTTTGGATTTACTTATGGAACTATAGTTAAAGATCCAAATCAGTCAATGTTAAATATCATCTTTAAAGAGAAAAAAATCATCGAGCTATATGAAACAATTAGTTGTAGTAGAAATGCAACTTCTCTTCACAATTGTTCATTTGAAACTAAAGTGTTTGTAATAAAAAAATAAAAGAAGGTTTTATAAGTTTATATTCATCTTTTGTATCTTCTTTTTTTTAGCCAAAGACCAATGTGGTTTCCTTATTTTTTGGAATGTTCATTTAGAAATAATACTGGTTGTATTGGAGAATTTGTTATTTCGCTCTATGATATTTGTTTTTCATTTACACATATAAATAGCTTATCTTATAAAAATATAATTGAAATGGAAACATTATGCGTAAAGAGAAATGAAACTTTACCAGATATTCCAACATTTGATAATATATTTGTCATCATGTATTTTAAATCAATAATTCACTCTGATGACATCATGTCCGATTTCATTGAATCTACTATTGGTAATTATTTCTGTAAGTAATTGAAAATTATTAAAAGATAAAAAGAAACAGTAAGAAGAATAATTTGAAAATTTTCTTTCTCTACTTTTCCAAATAGATATTAAAAAAGTACAAAATAAGAGATTGCAGAATATTTACGTTTCTCCTAGTGGTTTGAGTATGAGTATACCACATCAAATGAGGTCGAAAGTAAGTAAGAAAAACAATTTAGGAAAATTCATCTCTATTTTGTAGTTTTCACAATAATCTTTTCAAAACTGGTATGGATTTTCCAAACCCTGAAATTGTCAGGGTTAGATTAAATTTATAATAAAGGCATTTTTGTATTAATTGAATTTGTCTTGTATACAGCTTGAACGAACTGTTCGTTTACGAAACTATAACAAATTGTCACTGTCTTCATGGAGAACAGTAAGCTCTGTTTTCCAGAAAAATTCATGTTATAGTTATGATACTCTGGTTAGAAATATTCCAATTTTTAGAGTCCAAAAAAAAAATTAGTCATATTTTTAAAATATTTTGTAGCAAATTGAATTTTCGCCCGAGATTTTTGTCAAACTCAACAATTATGATTGTGAACAACCAATCTCAAATATTGTAGTTTGTCAAACCTTACCGAGTAATATAATTCTTTTTTTCTATTTTTCTTCATCTAACTTCTTATTTTAGAACCGGATATACCAGTTGTTGATTTACTAACTTATGATAAATTCCAAAAGATTCCGGAAAACTGTATTCGCTGCGAGAACGATGGAATATATATAAATTACATTGCAGTTTGTGATGGAAAAGATGATTGTACCATGAAGAATGATGAAGAAAATTGTCAAAATATAAAACCATTTCACTTTAAATGTCATTCAAATGACAAAGTAATACACTTCTCATTAGTTTGTAATTTTATGAAGGATTGTTCAGATGGTTCCGATGAAGAAGAATGTGGTTAGGAATAGTTAAAATGATTCAAAAGAAAAATCTTTAACCTATTTATTTCTAGAATACGATGAATGTTCAGAATTTCAAGTGTAAGTAGAAAATAAATGATTGTCAATTTACGCATCAAATTCAACACAAAAAAGCATATGAACTTTCTCAATTTCTGATTAATTGATATTTTTTTGTTCTTTTATTCTGTTTACATATTTTTTTATCCCTAGATCCTGTAAGAATGAACAATGCGTCAACTCAACTTTTGTTTGCGATAGTGAGAGACATTGCTTCGATACAACTGATGAAATTTGTAAAAATAAAAATGCTTTAGTAAAAGATTTTGAAAAAGGTTAATTAATAAAAACAATTAACACTTTGGTATTTTCTATTTAAATTCTTTTATATGTTCTTTTTTATTTAGCATGTAGGCCTAATTATCAAATTGATTGCGGAAGTATATGTATATCAAATGAACTTTTTAACGATGGAAAACTCGATTGCAATAACTTTGCGGATGAGACGAGTACGGAGTTTATTGACTTTTCAAACGAATGCTATTTTAGAACTTCCTCTCTTGGAGTTCAAATTACAGATCTCAATCGTATAATTAATCCATGCAATAGGAGTAAATGTCCAAATGGACAATACTTATGTCATAGGAGTAACTATTGTATAAGCGTTCAACAACTTTGCGACGGAATAAATCATTGTATGCAAGGTGATGACGAATATGATTGTGGTAAGAAAAAAACTTGTTATACCAGTGTATACAAATTTAGAAAAATTGGCAAAATATTCTTCTTCTTTCCTGTTTTTGTTTATTTGTTTTTTTTTTAGTTAATTTTAGACCAAAAGGCTTTTTTAAATGTAAAAATGAGGAAACATATATAATGATTGAAAAAGTTTGCAATAAAATTATCGATTGCGCAAACGGAAGTGACGAATTCTTATGTCAACCAACAGTAGAGATTTATTATTCCGATTGTAATGAATTATCATTTCTCTCTTGGGAATGTAATTTTACAACAAACGATTTGAATTTATATCAATTAAATAAAGGATTAATTAAAAATTTTAAGAGTATTAAATTGTTAAAAGTATCTGGCTTAAATCTATATTCATTCTTTGAAAATTCAAGAGAATTGAATGTTTTACAAATTAGAAATAGTTGGAAATATTTTACATTTGGAAGAGAATATTTTCCTAATCTTATTCATTTATTGCTCGTTAACAACGGAATTACGGAAAATTCGTTCATTTTAAATCAACCATTAAAACTACTTCAAAGTCTTAGTTTGGTAAATAATCAAATTGCTTCATTATCATTTCTTAATAAATTAGAATGTGGTCATCTCTATTCACTCGACGTTTCGTCATCAAAACTCGATTATATCAATGAACGTGATTTAAACAATACTAAACTGTTAAAAGTATTAAAAATTGAGTACAGTTCTATAAAGAAAATAGATCGTAACGCTCTCATTTCTCTTCAAAATTTGAAAAAACTCTACCTAAACAACACAAATCTACCACAATTATCATCATCATTCATTAAAAGAAATCTAAAATATATACAAATCATTCAAGGGAAAAGCTTTATTTTATGTTGTCTTTTTTGGGAAAATATAGGAAATTACGTAGACTGTCAACCGTCAATTAACATTTATCGAACATGTTCAAGATTATTAGATTCAAGTTTAAAAAAAATAATCTATTGGACAATGGCAATTTTTGGTTGTTTTGCAAATGTTTTCTCAATAATTGTATTATTACTGTGGGGAAGTTTTGCAAAAAATTACCGTCTCCTGCTATGCTTTAGTGATTTCTTAACATCTTTATATATACTTTCAATATGTATATTTGACATATATTTCTCTGATACTTATCTGGAAAATGATGAATATTGGAGAAAGAGTAGCTTTTGTGCAACTATTGGAACAATGTTTACATTCTCTTTAATAATGTCATCGCTTTGTATGCTGCTCGTAAGTATTGAACGCTACGAAGTCGTTAGAAAACCGTTTCAACAACCTTTTGTCCATTTACAAAACAACTCAATTATTCTAAGCCTATTTTCTATTTGTCTATTAGTATCAACACTACCATTTGCAATTAATAAGGTACATATAGTACATATATAGAAATATTGCTTTCATTTTATTTTAATAGAATCCTCATGGTCAAACACCAAATTGTTTTAACATACAAATAAAAACTAATGAAAATGAAGACAATGGAGAAATGATCTATTTCTTTGTAATATTTAGAGTATTCATACCAATTTTAAGTGTTTTAATTACGATATTTTATATACGTATTATTGTTTTAATCAAATTCTCATCAAGCACTCAATCAACTCTAAAAGAAACTAAAAGCAGAAAACTTAGAAAGACAACAATTATTCTATCATTTTCAAATGCATTAGTGTGGGTACCAATTTCAATTTTAGGAATATTATCAATTACAAATCCAACTTTTAGTTTAAAAACTGATAGAAATAGTTGGATAACAATTGTCTTAGTTTCAATTAATTCAGTACTCAATCCATTTACATTATCATTTATTGATATTTATACCCAAATTCAAAATATGACAATATTATCAATGCAAAAGAGGTTTTGTATTTATACTGAATTTAAATTCATATTATATTGTCATATATTTATTATAATATAGGCAAAATTTACTAAAATGTCATTCTGATGAACTTTACAAAAGATGTAAAAATAAAAACAAAGTTACTTTCTTTGATTTTACACTAAAAAATTTTTCATTAATTTTTTAGTTATTGCATTTATTCAAGAAAAAAGATATAATATCTTGATTATGCGTGAATTAAAGTTTAAATATACTCAGTTAAAGATTAATAGACACTTTTATCAAAATACACGATATTACCACTGTACTGTACAACTTTTTAAAGCAATTCATCATTTACATAACTACAATTTCTCATTTGCTGATAAAGTTTCAATTGAAAATATCTATTATCAAGTCAGTTATTTAATACTCATTTAATATATTAGTCATATCATGATGTTCTTGTTGTTGCTATATTAGCATTCAAGAAACCTTTTTCACTTCTGCATCACGAATATACAACAAAAAACACAGGAAACCGAATTCAAAGATATCTGCTCCATTGGTATTATTCTAAGAAAGATTTTACAGAAAAGGAAACAATTTGAATAGTTTGTCATAGTTACAAATAACATATTTTAAGCTTTTTGGTAAAATCAGTACAACTAACAAATTTTTGTGATTTTCACTAACAATAAAGTTTCTATCTGCAATAAATCACAACTTTTCAATTTAGGATTAGGATTTTTGGACTAGGTCTTTCTATTTTGTTGACAATGTCAACATTCTACTTTCTCTTCAAATATCGCTCACTGATATGGGTAGGATATGGGAATGGTCTACAACATTCAACCATCATTTTACAGTTGGATATATGTCCTAGTTCATCTTTACTTTTAGGATGTTACAAAGTCTAATAGTAAAGTTCCTTGTTAAGGGCTAACTGATTCTCTGATTTTTTTTCTTATTCTACCTGAATTTTTCAATTACAGCCAAATGAGTTTGTGTCTAAATCTCAGGACACATGATCAACAGCTGATCTTTCATAATATTTTGTCAAAGGTAATACAGTTTACTAAATTTTCCTGGTATTTTGTCAAATGTAACATTTCAAGCAAGCATCTCTTTAATTTTCCTGTTCCTTTCCCAACTTCGCAATGGACGAAATCTCTATTGCCCACAAAGAAATGGCTAGCAATGTTCTTCAGGTGACACATGACATAGTTTCTCCATTCATCCAAAAACAAAAGTTTGCCTGCTCTTCTGATAAATTTCGTCTTTTCGTCCCGATCCTACTTTTTCTTTCCAAGCAATTGTGACTTGGCAGGATCTCTGACTAGGACTGTGGCTATCTACTTGTGCAATGTCATGCCTTAAGTTTGTCTGAGATAAGAACTTTCTCCCCGATCATATTCTTTCCAATGCCAGCTTGGTGGAGTTTGCACCGAAACCTTCCTTTATCTCAAGCCTCACCATCTTGCTCTGCAGACAGATGAGGAGTAGCACATAGGCCTTGCCACCCTTTTTCAATTTGAAAGGCCCACAACCGTCAATCCTGATGTATTCAAACACTTCGAGCCATTTTCCAAGGTCATTGCTCTTTTTCTGGTAGCTTCTCTCCGGCCTATCTGTCACACTCTGTATAACATTTCTTATCATCGCTATCTCCTTCAGCACCCAGTGTGTCTCCCTAAGGATTGCCCTCATTTTGGCCAATAGAGCGTGGTAATTCTCTTCATACACCTTCTTAACTAACAATGTTTCTATCCTTTTCAAATTCTCCATATGGCAAAGCCACAATATCAGCTTTCTGTTAGAATATGAAGATAAATGACAATATTGATTTGTTTAGAAAGCATTATCAATAACGATAATTTACGAATTAAAAATCTCAAAACTGTTAAATTGTTGATGAAAAGTAAAGCTCTTGCCTACTTTCTATCCTAAATTTTGTATTTACAGCAACCAGGTTATCTAATTGATGTAATCTTTTAAAAAAATGAATTAATCCTTTGAAAAACGACGAGAAAAACATTGATTCTATTATCAATATCACTATACTGTATTAATTAAATTTTTCTTAATAAACATTGACACGTTTATGTAATTGAATTTTCTTTAGAGGAGGAACGAAATACATCCGGTCATATTTTATTACATACGTCATCAGAGAAATTTTAATAAACTTTCAAATAATCCATGCACTTTTATTGCTTTATATTTTAAAAATATATATTATATACATTTATAAATTTCCATCTAAATACAGCTAAAAATATTTTTTATCTTATTTTTGTGTTGTGGAAAATGTTCTTTTTGTAATAGAAGATATATCAGCTAAAATGGAGAGGCAGTACATCTTCCAGCAAGATATTGCTTGGTGCCATACTGCTAGGACAACCAAAAGAGCCTTTCAAATGAATGACATCCATCCTCTTGATTGGCCAGAAAAGAGCCCTGACCTCAGTCCAATTGAGAACATGTGGCACCTTACCAAAAAACTCGTTTATGATGATCCACAATTCAAATGTGAAGCGGAATTGCGTAGCCCTTTTTATTTGGGTTTGCCACACCATAATGTGGTATGAACCATTTTATTATCTCTTTCTTTTTTTCATTGTGGGGCAAATTAATGGATTCTAAAAGAGCATACCCCACTAATGAAAGTTGTAGACAAATTGGAAGGAGAAAACATTGATAATGGGTCATTGAATGAATATAAAAACTTTATTGAATCTATGTTTGTAAAAGAAGACCTTGTATGGTATCTAAAT